AGTCTGAGACTGGATGAGGGGTAAGTTTTGCATTTCTGTACCAAATAAAGAGTATAAACTATAAATAAAACAATTCAGCACTAGGCAAGATTTAAATTAGTGAGTTGAAATGACTTGTACTTTTAAGTTGATTTAACTTACAATTTTAAGGCAGCCACAAAACTTACGTTTTTAAGTTGAAAGGGGTGAAATTTTTTTACAGTGTACTTTATGCAGGCTGTGTGCATTTGACTGTGGTTTGACTGTTTTGAAACTTATATGGTAGTTACATAGCCCTTAGACCTCAGTTATCATGGAATTTCAGTTTTGACAATATGGGACCTTTAAGTGATAAAAAGCAGTTGCAAATGTTGTACAAAATAAAAATCACCACTACTCATCTTTGCACCAATAAAACGTAAAAACACTGTTTTTCTATCTAATTATTGTATTAATATTTAACTTACATTGGAAAGGTTTCCGTGACCTCTCGCGAGATCTCGGCAAAAAGTCTCACGATTTATTTCCAGAATATGATGCATGATGGGATACACTAAGCCTCGAATAGCTCTCCAGGGCGGTATTCGAGATAGTGTGGATTTAGTGTGCGTTAAAGGCACTGCGCTTTGCCGTTTTTAAGACCTGGGACTTTCTTGCCCACTTACTTCCTGTCGCACGCACATGCTCTCAAGTGGCCAAGACCACAAGTGTGGGTATTTGGACAAGGCAATAGTAACTCATGGGAACGTCATATATAGGAGCTATAGCCATGTCTTAATGCCACACTGTCTTTGTCATTCTTAATTCAAAATAAAATAAGCAGAATGGTAACAGGGTTGATGGATAATCTGAACACACAAGGACAAAGTGTTTGTCAAAGCCTAGAAATATATAAAAAAACAAGGGCAAATTACATAAATTATCTAAATATATAATATAATATAATATAATATATGTTACACTTTATCGAGAGTTCAGTTTAGGCTTTCTACTGACTATTAAGTAACTTTGCATAAATAGTAGTTAGTAGAATGTCTAAAGTGGACTACACACACACAGGAAATAAATGCTAACATTTTATCTTCCTGTATATATTTTTAAGTTGTATTTGCTAACACAGCAAAGGCAAGTTAGACTGGGAACAGGCCAAAAAATATTTATGAACAAAGAAAACGATTTAAAATATTAACTGTAAATAGTCCTATTAGAGTTATTGATTTTACATTATTACCATTATTTTTTTATGTAAGGGACACAAATGCCATCCAAATACTTAGAAAGACCCAGCTGGTCACACTTGAAAACATGCAATCGTTTTAGGCTCCGAGAATGCTATAGCTCTTTACCCATCAGTGATCCTTCAAGAGATACTGTCAGTAAACTTAAAAGCATTCTAAACACAATAACGCCGAGACAATCATGTTTCATAAGATACTCACCGACATGGAAACAAACAAATGACAGCAATGCTACATCGACAGAACACCGAGAACTTCAGCGCTCCTAATTAACCTTCTCCCTTGCAAATCAATACATGGTACAGGCTCTTTTTAATTGAGGAGTAATTATCAGCCTGCATTCATCTGCCTAATGAAACAATGCTTTGTTATGCCTGCAGCTAAAAAAAAAAAAAAGTTAATTTAGTTCCCTTTTGTGAAGCAGACGTTCTCTCCTCATGGTTTTGGCCTGTATAATGTCTGTCTGTGTGGAAATGAAGGCAGATGTTTTGTTGTCCACTGATCACATTGAACACACTCACTCTCCTCCCACTTTTACTGTCCCATTTCCGAATTAGATTGTATTTTTCCTAGTCACCATGACTGTCTCCCCTTGTTTAATGGTGAAACTAAAACTGAGACAGAACAACTGATAATAAGAAGTGACCCATACCAAGATGTGTGGCATAGGCTGCTTGTTATTTACTAGTGCAGCTATTACAATACTATAATAGTGTGATTACATCTGACCTTGTACAGCCCTGTCGTAAACCATTTTCTGTAATGTGACATATTTCGGAGAGAAATAAATTATTCGACAAGAAAATAAAATGTAGGTTAGGACTTGATCATGGAAAGTGGGCATTTACAGTAGAGAGGATGTTATTAATATAAAAAGAAATAATAAGTGTACTGCAAACCAAAACTGTATAGTTACATTGAGATCAGTAAGATCAGTTGGGATTTTTTTTTTGATAGAAATTAATACTTTTGTTGGTGATGCATCAAGTTGATCACAAGTAACAGTAAACATGGTTATTTTTTTTTACAAGTAAATAGTTACAAAAGATTTAAGATTTTCATTTCAAATAAATGCTGTTCTTTTGAGCTTTCTATGTATCAAAGACTCCCAAAATAATAGACAGTTTCCACAAAAATATTAAGCAACAAAACATTTATAGAAATAAATATTTCTTAATCACCAAATCAGGATGTTGCAATGATTACTGAAGGATAATGTGCTAAAAGAGTAATGGCTGCTGAAAATAAAATTTCGGCATCACATGAATCGAATACATTTTCAAATACATTAAATATGTTCTGTGTATTTTTGATCAAACAAATGCAGCCTTGAAAAAATAATCTTAGTGACCCCAAACTTCTGTATTATCTGATAAATTAATATGATCATTCTATTTGATAAATCAGTAAGGAAAAAATGACTAAGTTTAACATAATTCATTTGTCTTAATTTAACAAGTTAACTTTGACAGTCCTGAAACCTCTCCTCTCAAAATGTACGCAATTTTTAAGCATATCACCGAAGCCCAGGTTGAAAACTGAATTATTAGTGTTTGTAAGAGAAACTAAGCATCCTGAAAACAACATGGTCTCGCAGACAGTAAAGTTTATTTGAAATGCTTTGAGACAATTTATCCAAAAAAAAAAAGGAAAAGCTGGCAGTTTTTAAAACAATTTAATATACAGACTTTGTTTAAATGACCTGAACAACTGCTGAAACCAGGGTGGAATGAATGATTCATGAAGGCACTATTGAGTGTACAACTAATGTTGGTTTGAGCCTCTTTCTGTCTTTTTTATCTTCTGGTAAAATGCAGTATAATTAGGACTTCTGAGAGGGTAGTAGGCTGTTGAGACCAAGTTACCTCAAGTCAATACTCTGCTACAAGATGATACTTTAATCTGTCCTAAACAGTCTCTGTAGTGGAACAATGAAAGATGAAAGTTCATCTTAGAGGTCAGTTTAAAGTTGAACTGTTCACTGTTAAAAATTTCCTGTAGAAATTACAGTAACTTACTGGCAGCAGTTCGCCAGTAACTTACTGTAAATTAAACTTATGAAAGCATTTTGAGCATCTTTACTCCAGTCGTTGTGGAAACCAATATATTACCATTCAAATGTACCATAAAAAATGTAAAAAAAATAAATTAAATTAAATTGTATTTATTTTTATAAATACTTTTATTCAACAAGGACAAATTAAATTGATCAAAAGTGTCAGTAAAAACATTTCAGTAAAGTCGTGTTACAAAAGATTTTATTTCAAATAAATGCTGTTATTTTGAACATTTTGAAATATTCAAAGAATCTTGAAACGTAAAATGTATCACGGTTTCCACAAAAATATGCAGCAGAAAAAAAATGTGTTCAATATTGATTATAGTAAGAACCATCATTAATAATAATTAAGCACCAATAATAATTGATCATTACAGAGCAGCAGATTAGGATATTAGAATGATTTCTGAAGGATCATGTGACACTGAAGTCTGGAGTAATGGCTGCTGAAAATTCAGCTTTGTCATGAAAGGAATAGATTGCATTTTAAAAATATATTAAAATAAAAAACTGTTATTTTTAATTTAAATAATATTTCTCAATATTACTATTACTGCTGCCTTGGTGAGCAGAAGAGACTTGTTTCAAAAACACTAAAAACCTTTGACTGGGAGTGTGTGTGATACATATGGGTCGTTTAAAGGGATAGTTCACCCAAAAATGAAAATGTAATGTTTATCTGCTTACCCCCAGGGCATCCAAGATGTAGGTGACTTTGTTTCTTCAGTAGAACACAAATGATGATTTTTAACTCCAACCGTTGCAGTCTATCAGTCGTATAATGCATGGCAATGGTAACAAAATCTATGAGAGTAAAAAAAACATGCACAGACAAATCCAAATTAAACACACTACACACCTCTACCTACGGCATTGAGGTGTGTAGTATTAGAGGTAAAAAATTATATAAATACTGTTCGGTTTCTCACACAAACCGATCGTTTCGTGTCTTAGGACATCAATGTGTCGTCACGAGCCGCAGGGTTTAATTTGGATTTGTCTGTGCATGTTTTTTTTACTCTCATAGATTTTGTTACCATTGCCATGTATTATACGACTGACAGACTGCAACAGTTGGAGTTAAAAATCATCATTTGTGTTCTACTGAAGAAACAAAGTCACCTACATCTTGGATGCCCTGGGGGTAAGCAGATAAACATCAAATTTTCATTTTTGGGTGAACTATCCCTTTAAGTCATTAAAGAAATTTAAAAATGGCATTAAAAAAGCAATAAATTAGATTTGATGATACCTGCAGAAACCCTGTATAGTATAGGGCCCTTATGAATATCTTTCTTCCACTGAACACAAAAGGAGAATTATGTTTTTTAATGTTCTAGTCATTCTTTTCCATGCAATTACAATGAGCTTTCAAGCTTAATAATGGATGCAAAAGAACCATAAGTACATGTATAACTTGAGAACTGGATCAGTCCAGTTCATGAACAAAATGTTCAAAAGGGTTTCCAAATGAATTAATTTCAACCAATTAATTGAAAAGATTTGACTAAGAATTATTCATCTACAAATCACACATTGTTAAGGTACTTCTTTCATGGGCTGTCATGAATGTTTGAATTTGACCTTCAGGCTGTTTCTCAATCTCACACAAAGCTATTGTATTCACCGTTTGTGTTACATGGAAAAAAAGAAAGTTGGATTTGGAAAGACGAAGGTGAGTAGATAAAAGTAAAGTAAAGGTAGAGAGCAGAATGGTCTTTTTTTTTTTTTTTTTGAACTATTCCTTTAATTCTTAAAAGATGACCAAGTACCTGTGCGGTACAGCTCAGTCGCACCTCTGAAGAAACGTGGCAGGGCTGCCTCGAGCATCATGATAAAATCCTCCAGCTCCTCAGTCACTCCCACAAGCAGATACTCATTCACCAAATTATACTTGGCCTGCTCGAGAGCCCACCTACTGCCAACATTCCTGCACAAACAGACACACAAGATCATTTCCAGCTCCTACATACAGCAGTTTAGAGAACAAATCAGTAAAGAGTAAATCAATCAATTTGTCTAATGCGAACGAGCATTACATGAAAAACAGAGTAACAGGCTGCTCATATTACCCACCAGCACTCAGAGTAATGGCCACAGAAGAACGGGATCTGTAACCAAAGCTTCTCAGGAGCGCAGTCAGAACCTCCTGATGACACACACTCATCAAATGTCTGAAAAACATTCACACATATTGCATCTTAGCATGCACATGGGGAGAAAATTAATAGTTACTTTGAATAATAGTTCAAAAAGATAATACCTTTTTGTCCCCCTGCTTTCTCCGCCTGAGACCTGGCCGATAATCGTCTCCAAATCGGAGAAAATAGTAGTAAGACACCAACCTCTCGATAGGGTCCCGCACAATGTTGATGTAAACCGGCTTCCCCTTGACTCCAAACCTATTCAGGTAAACATTATTTTATATTATATTATAATTTATTTTATATTATATTATGTTATATATTATGTGGAGTCCACTCCACAAGACACCTGTCAAAATGCTTATTTTTTTTACATTTTGTTCTAAATTCTTAATTTTCCATGTTCTTCGTTACAATTATATTATCACCACAACAATCTGTGAAAAAAAAATCTAAATTGAATAAAAATTTCTAAATTTCAATATATGCTATGTTCCTTTTGATCATGTAAAACAAAACAAAAATAAAACCAAAAACAAACCAAAACAAAAAATTCTGATTTCAGATTTCAAATCCACAAGAAAAAATAAAAACGTTCCACTTTCAACCACTAGAGTGCAGCACTTAAACGTATCTTCTCACATCAGTAAATTAGTCTGATGGATGTCCCATTTTACAGGAAAAGACAACAACAAATGTGCTATTAGATAAGGACTTGTGTGCCTTAAGAACACATATAACCATATTAACTACGGTGAAGTGTAGTGCAATTGCTTCCAGTGATCGTAGTGATGGTTTTGTATCAATCCAGCAAAACTTACTTTGTGAAGTCCAGGTAGGCGACATGGCCGTGGTAGAAACCTGGTTTCATTTCTCGCCAGGATGTCACATTCCTTACAAACCTCATCTGTAAGCACAAGATAACACATTCGATTTGTCCCTGTACAGTTTATAAACCTCTAAATGTATTTTACTGCATGTGTGATATGCCCCCATCATTCAAGCATCAGCGATATCCAAATCTCAAATAACAATCTCGCACTGACGTACTGCATCTGTCACGGGCTGCTAAACCAACCAGCCAAGAGACTACTTAATGCAAACACATTTCAGCAATGTTTTCTCCAAACATCCTCCCCATAGTCCCACAGCTGTACTCCGCTGGGAGGGAAAGGTTGTACCATCTGCACCGTCGAAAGGCTTTGTTGAAAGCTAGACTGGATATTACCTTGGCAAAATCACAGACAAATAACACCTTCCCTCCCCCTGCTCCGAGGCATATTATTTCGTGGATGGCAATGACGTGAATACAAATGTAAACATACGCTCATGATCGCAGACTGACAAAGCCACATGCTGTGTTGAATAATGTTGTTGACACATGTGAGGTCAAAATGATGCGGGAATGCTTTATTTGAAGGGAGCACCTTCAACTCTGCAAATAAAACTCAAGATTGCTTTCTGTTAGCTGACAACACGTTACCCTATATAACAATACATGTGATGAATAGAGAATCGTCTTTCTTTGCTGTTGTCAACAAGAGCTGCAATTCATTCTTTGTTCTTCTTTTTATCTATCGGTTCAGCGCTACTTGTCACACAAAGGCACAGTAGCATTGTGGATATTGACAGTAGGTTATGAATTATGGAGGTGGAGCCTGAGATGAGACTGCTTGTTAGACAGAAACGCAGGGCCGCTACGCTAACATCACCTGGACTGTCAGAGTGAGAATTGAGCAAAAGACCAATCGGAATGTCATCAGTACAAGCACAATACACCTCTGCACCTCTGGTCTGAACTGCACAACTTAAGTGTGTCTGTAAAATATGCCCAATAGCTGGCATTTTCATATACAGTATCTGGCTATTTAATTATTACACTGTGTAAGCATTTTTGAGCGAATGGCTGCTGAAAATCCAGCTTTGCAATCACAGGATTCACATATAGAAAGAACACTTTAAATGTGGTTTTACATAGTATACTTTAAATGAACAAAAAACAGTTATGGATTTAAAAAGGGACTCAGCTGAACCACAAAAGGACACTGGCTCCTTTTAGGGTGTTCTGAGTTCATATGAAGTGTTCATATACAGTTATATAAACCCTTGGATCATTTGGAGTGCTCAAACGAGCTAGGTGTGACAATCTCATTAATCTCTTTGACGACTCGTATGAGTGGACTTGCAAAACTTAAGAATTATGTTCACATAATTGGACTAAAATGTTAAATAATCTCATAATATTCACAGAAATGGCAAACATTTTGATGTAATGTAATGGCGCTTTTCCATTGCATGGTACTTTTTTAGTACCACCTCAGTTGAGGTAACCAAGCGAGCTGTACCGATACTAAAATGTGACGTATAAACACTGCAGATCACTGATTGGTCATTGGATTGGTTACTGATTGGTCAACAGCCACCGCAGTATCATTTGTTGCTTTCAACGACCGTCGCACGCAACTTTAAAAAAAAAAGAAATGGCTGTATAGTGGTCAGTAGACGAGGTGGTGGCGCAACTAAAATTATCAGTCTATAATCCCACCCACTTTGAAGCAGTACTAAACTGCAGTGGAAAAGCAAAAGTCAAGCGAGCAGAGTCGTATCACGCAGTGGAAAATAGGGTTGGGCCGATAGACAATGCCATCGTCCATCGCCGATGGCTGACACACATCACGATGTTAAGCTGACATCGTGATACACCCCCCACCCACCACCATCACCACCACCACCACCTCTCCCGCAATCCGCCACATCCCAGTTCTGTGTTTGGAAAGGAAATGGAGTGTACTACAGAAACCCTAAAGGGAATAAATAGCCTACGAGATGGGAGGATAAAAAAAATATTTCAATACTTTTTCTCGCAATTATATCGTTTGGTAAGTATAGGCGACTGTATATAAATTGCGGGCATCAGGGATCCGCTATTGAAACCACTTTCGATTGCGCGCTCTCATTTTACTTTCACTTTTGAGATTCGCGATCACAAGGACTCTATACTATGGAGCGGCAGTACTTACCACACATTTGACAAGATTAGATGTTTGTCATTGGTGCTCAGGATCAGCAAATCATTCGCCATCGTCCTATCAGACATTTCTCCTTACTCTGTGTAGGTGGTAAGTGAACTTTCATGTACTGTAATGCAAAAGACTACCGCTAGCAAGCGGCTAACCTTTTAGTGGCTCCGTATAAGGCGTTATTTGTTTCACACTTCGGGCACACCCCTCACCCCCCCACCCCCCGATGTTATCGTCCATCACGATGTTTCACTGTAGACATCGTCCGATGCCAATTTGGTAGACATCGCCCAACCCTAGTGGAAAAGTGGCATAAGCTGAATGTAATGTAGTGGACATGTTACCTGATCCTGCAGGGACATGACCGGATTATTCTTGGTGGTGTTGATGTGGAGAACATGGAAACGGTTCTTTCCACACAGGTCATATGCAATGTTGGTGAAGGAGGTGCTGGCAGTCTTGGGCACACGGTTATAGATGATGATCAGATCCTCAATCTCAGGCAATGCAGGAGAGTCCCGCAAGCCGTCCCGTGTCCGTCTCTGCAAGCCGTCCCGTGTCTGTCTCTGCTCCACCTCTCGCACCTCGTGTCTGGCCATGGTGCGCTCTGCAGGAGAGAGAAGATGATCATATTTACATCTACAAACATGCATTTATCTTTATTTTATTTTTTATTTGCAAAAACCCTAAAATTATACAAATACTATTGTACACTTAAATACTTCTGTAGAATTTCTACAGATTTAAAGGGACAGTTCACCCAAAAATTGTCATCATCTACTCACTCTCATGTCTTTCCAAACCTGTATGGCTTAATTTCTTCTGTGGTACTTGTGGAACAGTGGTACTTCTTGTGGTACTATGTTGGTGACCAAGCATTTTTCCTTTCCCATTGACTTCCCATTCACTGAATGGTTACCAACATTCTTCAAAATATCTTCTTTTACGTACGTTCCACAGAAGACTGATGACATAATTTTCATTTTAGGTGGACTAATCCCTTCAAATACTGTTTACTAGGGGTGTGACGAGATCTCGTGGCACGAGATCTCGCGAGATCCGATGTGCGACCAGTCAGATCTCGCGAGAACGTGACGATATCCTCGCGCAGACCTTTCAGATATATTTCGGTTCAGACGCGCGGTTTCATTTACTACACACTTACTGAAGCACGCCTGACACTGGTGGTGATTTCAGCGTCTGCCGTCTCACTAAATGAGGACGTAAACACATGAACAACATCTACAGAACTGCTCTGAGAGTCACTTTATGAGCATTTTAGCGTTTGATTTGAGTAAAACTAGCATCATATCTCATACACAGGACTGTAAAGGTATTCACGGCAACCCGTCAAAATAAAAGTCCTGTTTGATTTGAAGACATCGTGCCTATAACAATTTTTCAGTAGAATGTACATAGCCTATACTACTACTACTACTACTAAAATTAAACAAACATTATTTTTTAAGGAATAATCACACAAAACATTTCTTCCATGTTTTAATTTTAATAGTAAATCCCCTTTGTTTGCCAAAAAATCTTGTTTGCTTAATTTTCAATAATTACAGTTAAACAATAATTAATTTCAATAATTACAAAAAAAAGACTATTTTTCCCTATATATGTCATCATTGAGGATTTCTTTAAAAAAGTCAAAAAATCTCGTCTCGTCTCTTGGGATAAGTGTCTCGTCACACCCCTACTGTTTACCTAAAGTGACCTAACGTATATGCACACAGATCTTGAATATGTCATGGTAGACAAAGCCAAAACATGGTTTAGGTCATCCTTGTGCACATTTTTTTGGGGTGGGGGAGGGTTGGGGTGGAAAGTATCTGAAACATCTAATTATGCCATGTTATGCCTGACATTTAGAAATAAATTGAGTTCATCTGACCTTAGATTGTAATAAATATGCCAATAGAGCTGCAGAATGTATTCTCTATTTTAAAATACTCTATAATCATGATGATCAAAGTTTAATTGCAGGGAGAACTGTAGATTATGCAAATCCATCCATCTGCAAATTTAATGCAAGTAGCTGGTGGGAAATGTAGCTGTAAAGTTTAAGTATTTTCAGAGAGAGAGAGAGAGAGAGAGAGAGAGAGACTACAGCCAATAAATCTGGGGCAGCTAAAGATCTGTAAAGGTTCCCAACAGTCCCTTCAGCCACCTGTTGATTTAGGCGACAGAAAACAGCAGCAGGATGAAAAGGCCTGAATAATGGATTGAGAGGAGAAAACAAAGCAAGCAGTTTCAGTAGCAGTGTGTGTTCTGCTTTATGTACACACACCCTCACACTCAACACAATAACTTCACGCCAGTAGTAAGATGTCAAGAGAATTGTGCACCATAAAATCCCTCAGCTTTCAGTTTCAATGTACTGGCATGACAAATAATTGTACATTTATATTGCTATATTACCAAAGAATTTGCAGCTCAGCTGCTTAAAATGGTGCAAAGAAAGTGTAATGTAACATACACAAGTAGAGAAAAATATCAAAAAGACAAAACATGTAGTATACATATAGTAATAATAGTATAAATGTAGTAATAATTACCCTGTATATTGAATAATATCAGAAAAATTTGCAACTGAGAACCACTTGCCTACAAGAGAGAATGGCTTAAAAATTCCACTTTTGAGCTGGTATGCATTTTTTCTTATTTCATAGGTTTTTAGTTACATTCTGGAAGCTGCAGAAATTGACGGTGGAGACAATAAGGGACTATACAAGATAATCACAGAGACACTTACAGTTCAAATCACTGTAAGATGAAGAGTTTACAATTTTTTAAATCTAAAACCTAGAATATAGTATCCGTTTCACAGCTTCCCACACACACACACACACACACACAAAATAATAATAATAAAAAAAACATAAGTAATTAAATAGAAATCATTTTCAATTAACTGTAATTTCCATATCAGTGTATACCTAAGAATAATTGAAGCATATTTTCTTTACACATATTCATAACTGAAAGTTTTTCACAAAAATGTATTCATATTCATTTAAAATTAAATACTTACAGTTTTGTATTTATACTTTTATGTTTGGCAGCCGTTTCCATTCTTCAAAATCTGCCATGAAAGGGAAGCACATTGCACCTGAAGCTCAATGTGTGTCTTGAGTGAAGAACAGTGGGTCACCAATCAGATACAATGTGAATCATTTAGACTTTTCAATCTGTTTCTTTCTGGCCAAACTGTGAACAGATGTGCGGGTCTGAGCTGGTCACACTCTACTGTCTAAAGGAAGCACTGCTCACAAATTTTCAGTGTCTTTAAAGTGCTTTTAAAAGACACCAGTGTCTCATAAGGGACCAACACTCAACAAAACAAGATTTCCCTTGCGGTTCATGTGGAGCCAAGAGACTTCAGGATGAAAACACCAAACGGTATACAGACAAAATCCTCTATACACAACAAAGCCAATAACTTATCTCTTTACAATGCAATTTCCAATTTTAATAAATGAATACCACATTATTACCATCTGATGCATCACTGTACAGTGTCATAGTTATACCACAGTACTTGTTTAGTATGAAAGGAGAACAAAAAAGGAAATAAAACTGGATATTGTGCATTGTAGTAGATTTGCAATTTTACACAATGATAAACAATAGACTTTCATTACACAAAGCCACTTAAATTTGACTTAAATAGGATAATCTCTTCTGAAGTGTAAACAAACTAAATAACAGTGGAATTGTACGCTCTGTGCACTAATAATGGAAATGCACAGTGATCCCGAAAACAAAAGCCAAGCTAAAAAATAATGAAATCTCTCCCAAGTCATCACGCTGTATCATATGCTCATTTTACACACAGCAATTACACAAAACTCAGTTTGCTAATAGACTCATCAGTCTTCAACAGAGCACGCCTACCAGTGCATAAAATAAGCCACTTAAAATATTGATCAAGTCTTAACAAGCTTCCATGCATCAGCTGTGCTGCTCTAAAGCATCCTCCACCGCAGAGGACCCTAACCACACTCAGCCTGACATCTCATCTACATCACATCCATTCAGTCTGACATCCCATCTAACTAGGACACTATCCCAAATCAACATAGCTGTCTACACTGTGATTGACACAAAGCACCAAAACTAGAATGCTCCCCTAACACGTATCCTCACCAGCAACAACACTACATTTTGTTGGATGCTTGTTTGGTTTTTTATTTCTGAGAATCATACCACAGCCCTGCCCACATTGAAAGCAGCCAACAACATAAAAATGTTAAAGGGGTCATATGATGCGATTTCAAGTTTTCCTTTCTCTTTGGAGTGTTACAAGCTCTTGGTGCATAAAGAAGATCTGTAAAGTTGCAAACACTAAAGTCTCAAATCCAAAGAGATATTCTTTATAAAAGTTAAGAGTCAACCACACCTACCTAAAACGGCTCATTCTAACACGCCCCCACATGTCTACGTCACTATGTGGAAATATTAGCATAATGCCGCCCAAATGTGCACGCAAAGAAAGAAGCCGTGGTTTCATGAACAGCTGTAGTGTTGATGCAGCCATGTCAGGGAGAGCTGTGTGTTTCAGTGGTGACCCCTTTAAATCAAAATAATATCATAAAAATGTGTACTTATGAAGTACGTATATGTAAGTAAGTTATGTACACTACCATTCAAAAGTCAGTAAGATTTGTTGGTAACACTTTAGAATAGGGAACACATATTCATTATTAACTAAGAGTTTTCCCTGAACAAACTCCTAATTTGCTGATTATTAATAGTTAGAAAGGTAGTTGTTAAGTTTAGGTATGGGGTGGATTAAGGGATCTAAAATACGGTCATGCAGAATAAGGGATTAATATGTGATTTATAATTACTAATAAACAGTCAATATGCTAGTAATATGCATGCGATATGCAACTAATTAATAGCAAAACTGTGGTCCTTAAAATAAAGTGTTACCCATTTTTTATATGAAACATCAGATGATCTAGTAAAAAATGACTGGTGTCAGTATTGGCACGATCGGTTATTGCTCATTTAGTGAAGCAACACAGATCAAGGGTATAATGTATTCTCTCCCACAACCTACATTTTAGAAATTTGAGTGGATTGAATACAATTAAATTGTGACAAAATGTTCAACAACTGTGTATCTTCAGCTCATGTTAGGGTCATTTCTGCAGTTTGGTCATGCAGAATAAGGCATTAATATGTGCTTTATAAGTACTAATAAACAGCCAGTATGCTAGTAATATGCATGCTAATAAGCAACAAATTAATAGCTAAAATTTTATCCTTAAAGTAAAGTGTTACCAATTTTTTTTTTAAGAAATGAATACTATTATTTAGCAATATTTTAGATGCAAAGTCGGCAACACCAAAGCTCCAAAAGTATCAAAAAAATTATTTTTTAAAAAGACTGTCGCATAGCATATGTGACGTTTCGAGCACGCAGGCTCTTCATCAGACAAATGAACAACACTGATATCGCAAACTTTATAGGCCTACCTCCAGGTGATCAAAGGTCACATGACCATACAATATTATCGTGATAATAATAATACCAAAACAATAACATATCAACCTTGGACATCAACTGAAGACTGCAGTAAAGGCAGATAAATA